GTAGATGTGCCCTCCTCTCATACCTGTGCCTGGGTGTTCACTTTGTGAAGCTTGAATGCGGATTCCACAGTGGAGCTTCAGATATGGCCACTGCAACCTTCAGGAGAACAATGGGTCTGTTTCCCCAGTGCTGCACCAGTGGGATGCTGCAGGAACACATGGGCACAGAGCATCTGTGCAGCAGCAATGGGCATCATGTTTGACAACTCTTGGAGGCAGACAGGAGTCCTGGAGCAGTTCATGGACCTTTTGGGTCTTCAAGGTCCATACATAGTCCTTTTTTCTGCTCTGGAAACAGACACAAAATGGAACACAAGCAAAGTGTAGCTCCCTGTCTGATCAGCACCTCCAGCCACACCACAAAGAACTCTATTGCGGTTAGGAACCAATGTGACAGGGTCAAATCTAAATGGGCTTAATTTTTTTTTAAAACCCAACAACAGAACAACAACCAAATAGTTCACCCCCTCCTCCCCCACCCAAAAAAGCAGAAACCCCAGCCCCAAAAACTCGAGGTTTTCACAGGAGACTTTCTTTCTCATTGCCACAGAACTCGGTTTGTGTCACATGAGCTGCTCTTCCCAGGACTTGCCTCCCTGCCCTCCTGTATCCTGCCCAGCCCTGTGGGCAGTCAGCCTTGTTGCCCCAGTGAAGGGGCTGGTTCTCAGAGAAGAGTCTGGTGCTTGTGAGGGCCTTATGGTCCCTGTGGAGTTGCCCATGGGGAAGGGCCCTGCCCTCAGTCTCTTATGACTTCTGATCACGTGTCTGCCTCAGGCCTTTCCCAAGCTCACCCTGCCAATGGTTGCCCCTACCTTGCTCTGTCCCTTTCCCAGTGGGAGCACAGTGTGGAGCAGGGACTTTGCAGAGCAAACAAGCACGTAGAGAGTGTTTCCAGGCTGCCTGATACCCCTCTCCTGTGCCAACCATGTGCTGGTGATTGCACCCAGCAGCTGAAAATAAGCTCTTGGAAGAAGGGGAGGTGGTGATGGACAGCTGCCAAGCTGGACTATTTATACTGGGTGAGTCAGGCCCGTGCCAGAGTCCAGCCACACTCTGGGGAACTGGAAGCTAGGGGCAATCTGCAAAGGACAAACCCTTGGACAAGAAGGTCTCTCCTGTAGCAGTTAATTTACTCTGTGGCTCACACTCACCCAATTTGTTCTCCATGATGGACTGCACCTTCCCCCTCGGCTCTGCCACACAACACTTGCTGCAGCCAGATCAGTGGAAGTTTTCTCACAATGTAAGGTCCCTGTACCACCACAGTGAGCGCAGCCTGAGCCCAGCTGGCCAGGGATGCCAGCACAGCCGCCTGGAGCCACTGGAGTGCCGGGATCTGCTGGTCCAGAATGCACTCTTCACTGGAGACCTGGACATGGTGCAGAAGTACTTCACCAAGAGCGCAGCCATCAATCTCATCATTGAGACCAGGGGCGATGAGCTGCGCTGGACTAGCAGGAAACGTGGTGGGTGTGCAAGGCTGTGATGTGGGGGGATTGAAAGTGCCCAGGATGGGGCCCAGGAAAAGGGGCACAGGCACTTTAGAAAAGTGTTGAGAGGAATCTGCAGTGGTGGAGAAAGAGTGGTGGAAGAGGGACTTGGGAATAATGGCTTTTGGATAAGGAAGAAGGGTTCCAGAGCTGTGGAACAAATGGTAGCAGGCTTGTCAAAGGTGTCCAGGGGCAGATCTACTGGGAAGTGGTGAGAATAGGGCCTTTAGAATGGCTGCCAGAGAGGCACATCTTCAGGATTGTCTTGTTTGAGATTGCTGGGATGGATGTGAAATATGTGTGAAGTGGAGAGAGTGCATGGGTGAGAAGGCATCAGAAAGCTGTTCTGTTCCATGAGATGGATTCAGTAAGGGGAGCAGGAAGCCAGCTTACCAGAAAGATGGTGGAAGCAAGCTTGTCCTGAGTGACAGGAGGTAGGAGATGATCATCCTTTGTGTTTCCTCCCATCTGTACATGTCCCTGTACCTCACCCAGGCACATCTTGTGGCTACCACACATGCTGCCATATTCTCTGCTTGCTTATACTTACCTTCTCATCAGTGTCATCTGTGAGCTTTTCAGTAAGCAGCGTAGCTGATGTCTTCAAGGGAGAGCTGTCCTGAGCAGCCTGGACATGCCCTTGTCCTTGCTGCTGTCCATAAGTGATGCGGTGCAGGTAGACTCACAGAATTTAAGAGCTTCAGGTGTGGAGAGGCCATAACTATACCATCCTCTTCCACAGAAGGCTGGCTGTGAAGTTTGTGCCCCAAAGAAAACAGAACGGGCGATTTAAAACAACCTCACACAGAAACTGCCCTTATCACCAAAGTTTCAAGATGAAAAAAACAATCAAACAAGACCATTCATCAAGAACAGAACAAAAACATGCTGCCAAATTTATCAGATAAGGGTATAGAACAAAAACTAAGCCTTCATGCTACCCAAGGCCTGGCTCTGTATCTCATGGGCCTGTAAGGACAGGTTCTTAAAGCTGACCCAGCCAGTGACCTTAAAAGTAGGTTCTAGTGACCTGGTCTTTCCCAAGACACGCCCATTGATATTTTAACTAGCCCAGAGGAAGTGTAAAGTGTCTGGTGTCACCGAAGCTAGTTCACACAGTCTTCTGCCTCCTTGGTGATACTTTTGTGACTGGGAACCTCAAGCTTTCATGGGATACCTGCTTAAATTTGGGAGGGAAATCGTGTCCCATTCGCTAAGAATATCTGGCAAGTCATTCCCTCTTTTTACCCTTTCACAGGCTACATTTCAGTCAGACAAGGTGAAGTCTACACAGACAGAGCAAGCTGGAGACTGTCAGTACAGAACTTGCTAATTTATTTTCATTACTGAGAAGAGTAAAGTTCCCTGTCTTACACTCTGCTCTGATCCCCTGGTAATTGTTGCTTGGTGTCTATTGGGGTCACTTAACTTGTGTTTAGCTGCATAATCTGAGTGGTTCCACGACACAATATTAAACTGAACACAACTAGGCTTCAATGCAGTTTGATGTGTTCTCTAGAACACACAATGTGAACAAAATGCACGCTGTCTTGATGCCCTGGAGTAACAAGTGATGTTCTGTGACCAAGGTGGGCAGGGTGACTGCATGCAGCCAAGTGGGGCCAGAGGAAAGCTCCATCTCAGGTGACAGGACAGCAGTGAGCAACCCTGAGTGGGGGGACTGTCTGATGATGGAAAAGGAGCACTAAAGTCAGGCAGGGGTTCTCTGCAAGTCTGGTTGGATATCTAGAAAAAGGAGGAAGAGATCTAAAGGATAAATACCCTCTGTGTTTCCCATCTTTGTGCCTATTTGTACCTCTCCTTTGGCTTTTAATTAAAAAGAGCTGTCCTGTGGCTTGTTTGAATACCTGACTAGTGCCAAAGGCTTGGGTGGAACTGTCAAGTGGATGTGCAGTGCTGGAGATGTGCAAGGAGCTGAGGGATGGGTGAAGGCATGGAGATGTGTATGGAGCAGAAGGCTGATGGGGTCATGCTGTTGTGGTCTGGGCAGCACTGGGCAATGACAGGCTGGTTGGGCACGAGACAACTTCCCTCTCTGTTGTCTTAGTGATGTCCTGTCCTCATTTCTACCCTTGAGGCTCCCCTATCCTGCCTGGGGGCTTTCCCTTCACAGCAGGGCACTGTAGAGGTACTGTTGCCTGAGTAGAGAGCCCTTATTGGCCTCTTGGCCACAGTGTTTGGTCACAAGGTTTCCCAAAATAGAACAACTGAGACCTGAGCTGTGCCCAGCCTGGGCCAAAGAGGGGTATGACATGCTCCTGCTCTGTGCAGAACGCCCCAGGCAGGCAGGCAGCCCCTCGACCAGAACACAGGGCACTGGTGGGGCTGTGTCAGCAGGTCCTGCCCTGGTCTCTGAGGAGAGTCTGGGTGTTTGTCATGGACAGCATCACAGGCCAAGGCGACAAGATCCAGGAGTGCATCCGCACACGGCAGGCAGACGGCCCAGCCCAGCTGTACTGGCAGGCCCTGCTGGCTGGGGATCAGGGGACTGTGGCCGAGATCCTCAGCAACCCTCACAACAACCTGTACCCCAGCACTGTGTTTGACACCAGTGACCTGGAAGAGTGGAAGAACTACCGCTTCAACACCCGTGGACTGAGTATGCAGGGGAGTGGGTGGGCAGACAGCAGGGCTCAGCCTGTGCCATGTGCTGAGGGGCATTCCTCTGCTGGGGTTGTGTGTTACAGGTACTGTTTGGGTTACAGAGGAGTGTGAATGGGAGTGAGAGCACAGGGATGTGTTCCGGTTATCGTGTGCTCCTTGTGGAAGGGCGTGTGTATGTCTGGGGGCATGGGGTGCATCTAGGGAACCTGGCCCTTCCCACAGGAGTTGTGCAAGTGCTTGGGAATTGCTTGGGTTCCCCTAGGGGCAAAGGAGAATCAAGTTTTGGGTGGTCCTCTGCAACCAGCCCTGCAGCTCACCCCAGCATGCCTGTGCTGTGTGTGCAGCCTGCACGGGGCTGCTGGGTCCTGCTGCAGGTTGTGCTGGACAGGGAATTGTCACAGCCCTTAGTTAGTTCCTCAGTTTGAACCTCGCCCTGGGAAACACAGTAGACTGCATGCTGCTTCTGCAAGAAGGAACTGAGAGGATGTAGTGTTGAACATGCCATGCAGCCTGGGATGTGCCCTCCAGCCCAGCCTGGACAGGCAGCAGGAAGCACAGTTTAAGGAGCTATTTTCCTGTAGCATCTGCAGGCTGTTTGCCAGCAGACTGCACCAGCTCAGCGATGGTTCCAGCTGGGTCAGCATCTTTGAAAGCTGGCACATTTCAGTCCCTTGCTCTCTCCTAGGCCCTAGATGTCCATCTCTGCTGAAGCTTGTTGCCTGCATCCTGCTCAGGGCTTGTCTGAGTCTCCTGTGTGCACGGCAGCCAGCTCTGACACCTCTCTGTTTTACTGCCTGGTTCCTTATGGGGTTTTTTTGCATGGTACTTGGCTCAGACATCTCATTGCCTTCAGCCCCATTGGTGCCCCAGGCCCTTTGTCCACTGTGCTCCTGACAACAGAAACCCTGTGTGCCCACCTGAGTCGCGGGTGAGGAACACACTGCCCACTTGAGCTGCAGGTGAGGAGAACACTGCTCACCTGAGCTGCAGGTGAAGAGCACACTGCCTAGGAAGAGCCTCTGCCCTGAGCTCCCTGGAGCTCCCTGTCAGCATGACTGGGAGGCCTGAAGGCCTTTGGCAAGCCAGTCCAAATACAGGGACCTTGCAGGGAAGGGACTGGCAATCTCTTGAGGGGAAACCTGAGTCCTTTGGAGTGTGGGGGGAGCTACATCAGGAAACCGGAGGAAAGAGCAGGTCTTTGTGCACTGTTGCTGGATGTGGCTCCCTGACCTCTCTTTTCCTGTAGGACTGTGGTCTCTGAGCTACGAGCAGGAGCTCACCACACCGCTGCACATCACGGCCAGCCGGGGCTACACTGACTGCCTACGGCTCCTGCTGCTCCGGGGTGCTGCCGTCGACTTCGCTCCGGGGGGCAAAACTGCCCTGCACGAGGCTTGTGCAGCCGCCAGCACCGACTGCGTGCGCCTGCTGCTCAGCTCCGGAGCTGACCCCGAGGCTGTCTCTGAGGATGGCTACAGACCCCTGCACCTCTGCAAGAGCCCAGACTCCATCGAGTGAGTCCTGCCCAGGGGGCTGGCCTCACTCCTCCTTAAGCCTCATCCCATGTAACAGGGGTCCCTCCTCATCCCTGCAGGTGGGCTGGTGGGTGCAGCAGTGGCTGCTGAATGGAGTGGTCTTGGTTCCTCTTCCTGAGCCTGGGTCACCTCTGAGGTCAAACAGGTGACTGTAGCTCGAGTCCTCAGCGGACACAGCTGAGCCAGGTGCTGCTGTCCAGCTGCCCACTAGCACCACGGAGCCAATGGTCACACTGCGATGCTTCAGGCATCCCCAAGCGAATCCACTGTGTGGATGAGCAGACACTGGGTGCAATGACACTTATAAAGACCTGTGGAGAGTTCACTTGGATTAGGGTGTCAGTATCTCTGCTCATTGGTCATCCTGGCTTAATATTGCTGCTCCAGGTCATGAGGAGCAGGGATTTTTGGACTCGGGAAAAGTGAAAGCTGTGGGGTGGTATAGATGTGGAGGCTGAGGGGTAGTATGGAAGCTGGACATGAAAGACTGTCACCAAGTCACCTTGGCTCACACAGGTGTGTCCGGCAGCTGCTGCAGCACGGTGCCAGTACAAACAGTCGGACGGAGGAGGAGGAGGACACAGCACTGCATGTGGCGGCACAGCACGGCCTGGCAGAGCACGTCCAGCTGCTTCTGCACCATGGGGCAGAGCTGGAAGCAAAGAACAAGGAGGGGCAAACACCACTGAATGCTGCCTGTGCTCAGCGCCATCAGCCCCAGGACATGGACCGCTACTACCGGGTGTGCCAGCTGCTTGTGGAGAGTGGTGCCAGCATCAACGCTGAGGATCGGGACCGGCAGCACCCACTTCACCTGGCCTGCAAGAATGCCAATGCTCAAATCACAGAGTTACTGCTGGCCCGGGGTGCCAACGTCAATGTTATGAACTATGGTGGCAACACAGCCCTGCATAATATCCTTCAAGTAACTGCCTACAAGCTAGAGCATCACCCGGAGCTCGTGGTGCAAGCCCTGCTCAACCATGGAGCCGTCCGCATCTGGCCAGGCTCCCTCCTCAAGGTGTGAGCTCCAGCGGTGCCTGCGGTGTGGTGGGAGGGGAAGGCTGTGAACATCAGGGCCCCAGTGCAAGCGAGAGTTCTCCTGTCACGGCAGGGCTTGTTCCATACCAACCTGCTCACTGTCCTGCCCTGCTCTGCACAGGGGCTGGGGAGGAAGAAATGGCATTACTGGTATGGGAATCCTTGGTGTTTGCTTCTGAGGTATGTTCTCCTGTAGGATTCTCCTGCTTTTGTCTGCTAGGCTGTGTGGACAGTACTCACCCAGTTTACATAATTACTTGCTCTGTAAATTCTTGTTCCCTTTCTACTGGAGGTGTTTCCTCTCAGGGGCACACCCTCCAGCTCCTGCTGTTTCTGTAAAACACCAGCAGACAAAGGGTTAATTTCCTGTCTTAATTCCTGAGCAGTGCAATAATTACTCAGCCCGGAGATCAGCAGATTGCTCTCCCCTTTGGGAAAATACAGGAAAATCAACAATTAACACTAATTAATCTCCTATTAACGCCAGATAATGAGGATCACTGGTACAGCCAGAATAGACTCTGACAGCTACTGCTGGCCTGGGCCATGGGGAGTGGGAGCCTGGAGCCAGGGGGATCTGCCTCTGTGCAGCTACACCTCACCTGGGTGGGGTGTGCTCCAAAGGCCGCACTGGTGTGAGGTACACGGCATCAGTGTGTCACCTGCACCTGCACGGACATGGGACACACCAGAGACGCATTGTACAAATATGTGTGACATCTTCTGGGCCTCTGTGCAGCTCCTGGCACGGATGCAGCACTGCTTAGGACATGGGGACAGGATGTTTCTGCAGCCCCATGCTGAACAAGAACAATCCTGCATCCCTGGGACCCTGGTGCAGCCCTCAACAGAGGCACAGTGTGCTGTGGTCCAGATACTCATAACACCGGTGCCAGTTCCTGCCCCAGAACAGCTCATGCTCCAACTATTGACATGTGAGGAAAGGAGCCTGGCATAAAGCAGAGCATTTATGTTTAAGCAGTGAGGCTGATGCAGTTCATCATCCCAGCCGTCTGCACTGGTCCCAGTGTCTGAGGAGAGGCTGTGAGGACCCAGTTGTGCTGAAGGCAGCCATGCTGTGCATGTTGGCTCAGTCACTCTCTTTGCAGGAGGGATGCTCTAGCCCTTTACACCTGCCGTGGTTTTGCTCTCCTGGGTTGGCATGAGGGAAGGACATGAGTCCTTCCAGCATCTTAGGAGGTGACAGTGGGGCTTGTAGGACCTTGCCCGATGACGCTGTTCACCTGCTTTCTCCCTCCCTGTGTTCAGGTGCTGCGGTACTGCCACACCTGCCCACGTGTCATCGAGGCCCTGGTGAACAGCTACACCCACGTGCGTGTCTCTGAGGACTGGGTGGAAGCAGTTCCAGCAGAGGTTGTACAGGTGAGGGAAGGAATGCCTGCCGCTGGCTGGAGAACACATCCAGGCTCTGGCAGGGGGTGCCAAGGACAGCTGGGGCTGGGAGGTCTTGGGCAGGGCAGGGCAGGGCAGGGCAGGGGCTGGGCAGACGGATTGCCAGACACATGGATGGTGCTGTTTGGGACAGGGAAATGCACCATAGTGACTAAGGCAAATGGGTGTCTGGTTCTACCTCTGTTCCCAGGGTGATATCTTCACCTTTGTTTGTCTCTGGTCCTCTCTTCTCTCTGTAGAAATACCCACGTTTCTACCAGTCGCTTTTCTCCCTGGAGCACAGACCTCGCTCCTTGCAGCACCTGGCTCGCTGCACCCTCAGGACCCTCCTGGAGGGTCGGCTGCTTCCAGTCCTGTCCCAGCTGCACCTGCCAAGTGCCCTGCACCGGTTCCTGCTGCTCGGCTTCGAGGACGTTCTCTACTAGGGGCTGTGGTTCCAGTCCTGCTGCGCCTTTTTGTGCAGATGTTCCATTCCCATCAATGCACTCAGTGCCTTCCCAGCCACCTCCTTCCCCTCGCCCTCTCCTGCCAGGGTCAGCCCTCTGTGCTAAGCTTTTTGTCATTTTTCAGTCCCAGCCAGCCTTGTGCTCTACCTCATGCACCTATTTGGAGCATTCCATTTGTCCATAGTAATCAGGACATGCTCCAAACTAAGAAAAGGAGGATATGGGGGATTAGGGCATTTTGTGGAACAAGGAGCAAGCACACTGCATGGATCACAGGCTTAGTTGTAGGATATCAGGATATATAGACCAGTAGTGCATTTCCCTTGAATCAGT